ACCATTTAAATTCTATTTGCTCATACAAACTTTCTTGTGTACTTTTTATCAAATTAAAATACATCGGTGCGAACTTGAAACTGGGCCATTACCAATTTGCGGCACATCCGAAAACTGCGCTCTTAACCATCTTTGCCCGATGAACATGGTCCTTCGAGCCGGATCAAAACGCTAATCAGCTACATCAAGATCAGCCGAGAATCAATCCACCAGCACTATTAGATAGCATTTCGGCTACAATTCCACAATCCAGCATAGCAGCTAGCCAAGGAGTTCATACGTGGTCACCACACAGCAAAATTGAATTTGTATCAGCTACAAGAAAACAACATAAAGCACATTAAAAAGGTACGTGGTTGTTTTGAAATATCACTGCACTTGTTTTTTTTGGTGTGAATTATTAAATTTAAAATATATACTAAAAGAATAGTGTCCGCGAGTGATCTTGTGAAAAAAAAAAAAAAGTTACAGTCCACTAAAAGTTCTGTCTGTCCGCAAGCAGGCAAAGTAACCTCAATTAGTAAAAGCGCGCGAAAATTCATTTTGCATTTTAAGTTTCTGCAAGATAGAATAATATTCCCAATCGAATTAAAATCACATTTTTCAATTTGGAGTTTTAAATTAATTCACGGGAATTTACACATTTTCAGTTTTTTTCTGAGTTCCGGATAAGTGGCACAAGTGTATTAACATACATACATACACATATCAAATTCGCATGGTAGCAGAGGCTTAACCTCAAAAAGTGCCATTTTCATCTTTTCGCCTTTTTCACAAAATCACTCACTAAGCATTAATTTAATATTGATTTTATTAAAAAACGATTTTGTATCCTAAAAACATACGTGTTATAAAAAACTATACACATACCGGGTGGCGACCAATACTTAAAGCAACCACAAGAGACATATGTACATACACACGCACATATATTATTAAATAAAACGATTGTGCATACATATATGTACATACATACATAGATATTGAGTACCATAAATTTTGGGATTTTTACGAAGTTGTGGAGCTTAGGAGGCAAATTTTGTGATTTTTACAAATTGGGTGGCTTTTTGGGCAATAATTTCAACTGTGTCATTCACTATAGTGGGTGTTTTCTTTGAGTTGCTTATTCTGAGGAAGAATCTTGAGAGATCTTATTAGGTTGTGGTTAAAACTTTAAAAATGGAAACATACATTCGCTTAGCTGACTCGGTTATTGAATTCGATATCGAATTTCTTGGCACACCCACAAGTGAACACACCAAGCATTCGCTGAAAATTCAGCAAGAGGAGCTAAAGGTGATGTGGGAGAAAGCCAAAGCACTTTTTGATGACTTGCTGGCTACGGAATCAATTGGTGCTAAAGATCTAAGTTCGATACGTAAGAAAGGAAAAACGTGCTATGCAGCTTTTGTGCGATGTATGTCCAAAATAAACGATTTGTCGGAAAAATTTGAAAAATCCGAAAAGGAAGATGAGGACATGTCAGCCACACAGCATAATTTACACCTACCGCCTTGTGATATCGACGCATTCAAGGGCGATTATTTGTCATGGCCAACATTTCGTGACATGTTCACGGCTATATATATATTGAACAAGCGGCTGACACCCATTCAAAAGCTTTACTATCTTAGTCAGAAAACGCAGGGTGAAGCCAAAGAAATTGTTAAGAAATGCGACCTGACAAATGATGGGTTTAATATAGCCTGGAAGAATTTGTGCGATAGGTATGAGAATAAAAGGATCCTAGTTAACACCCAGTTGAAGATCCTCTTCAATCTACAGGCGGTGGAAACTGAATGCGGGAGTGCAATTAAAAGATTGCAAAGGGATATAAACAATTGCATATCTTCCCTGGAGAGTCATAAAATTGACATTTCAACCTGGGATCCAATAATTACATACCTTTGCTCCACAAAATTACCAGAAGAGACTCTTTCGCTGTGGGAGCAATCAGTGCAAAATAAAACAGATATTTCCAAGTGGGTATATTTCCAAAAGGGTTAAGTCATAAGCATTCCTCTGAACCGCCACAAAAGAAACTTGGCACTTTTCAAACTAGTGTAAGCAAATTTACTTGCAAAATGTGTCAAAGCAATGATGACAGACTGCATATGTGCCAAAAATTCTTAAATATGTCGATATCTGATAGGATCGCTTTTATTAAAACCAACAATAGTTGTTTTAACTGCCTGTCCTTTGGGCATACGGTGTCGAAATGCACAAGTTCCTACAACTGTGCCAATTGCCATTCTCGACATCACACCCTACTTCATATACAGGCGGCTCCAGGTAAAACAACGACAAAGGAGAATACAGCCAATCCAGTTAACAATGGTGCATCGACATCCAGGCAGGCACAATTACGAAACCAATCTTCAAAGGGAAAAGGTAAAGCAGTCAGACATGTGCAAACACATCACGCGAATTCAAGCAAAGGCGTTTTACTTGGGACAGCTCGAGTAAATATTCATTTTAATGGTACTAACTTTGCGGCAAGAGCGTTAATTGACTCTGGCTCTGAGTGTTCCTTCATCACGGAGAGGCTCAGACGCAGAATCAACTTGCCAACCAAGAAGATGTTAGCACAGGTTTCGGGCATCAATAATTCTGTTTCAGCGCAGGTGAAAGAAGCGTGTTCGATTCAATTGCGGTCACCAATTGACCCACTTATTTCTATTGATGCCCTTGTGTTAGTTCTACCAAATCTGACAGGGAATTTGCCTACTTGTGATATTAGCGCACTCACACAACAAGTTTTTCCTGATCTGGTTTTGGCAGATAAAAGGTTTTTTGTGAATGAACAAGTCGATCTGGTTCTTGGAGGAGACATATATCCTCAAATAATATTAGGTGGAATTAAGAAGAACGTTCTCAGTACTCTCTTAGCGCAAGAAACAGTATTCGGTTGGATACTGACTGGTCGTGCTGATGCAGCCAGCCCAACCAGCAATAATCGAGTTTCATTTTACAATGAGGTTGCCCTTGATAGACAGTTATGCTCATTCTGGGAACTGGAGGATTTGCCGAGAAACAGAGCACCAACAACCGAAGAAACACAGTGTGAGGAGCTCTACAAGCGTACAACCAAACGGAACCCAGACAGAAGGTATATCGTTTCGCTTCCATTCAAAGCGGAGTTCCCGGCTGATACCAAATTGGGGCCATCACTGAGAATATCGTGCTCGCAATTCTACAAAAACGAGACACGCCTCAAGAAAAATCCAGATTTGCATGCGGAATACAACAGGATCATACTAGAGTACGAGACAATGGGGCATATGTCGAAAATCAATGCACTTCAGTCGGCCGATGCAATCGACAATTACTATCTGCCTCATCATGCCGTGATAAAAGAAGAAAGTATATCTACAAAGGTTCGGGTGGTTTTTAATGCTTCGTCTTCTTCAGCGAATGGGGTCAGCTTGAACGATATTCTTTTACCAGGGCCAGTTCTTCAAGCTGATTTACCAATTTTGATTCTCCGCTGGAGACTTTTTAGGTACGTCTTCAATAGCGATATTGAGAAGATGTACAGGCAAATTCTCGTGGATGCCAACCAGACGAAGTACCAGAGATTAGTCTTCCGTACGGGTCCAAACGAACCAATCGGTCTTTATGAATTAAAAACGGTTACTTTCGGTATAAACTGTGCGCCTTATCTGGCGATAAGGACATTACTGCAGCTAGCTAATGATTCAGAAAATTCCCATCCGATAGCTTCGAATATTTTACGGAAAAATATGTATGTCGATGATGTTCTTGCGGGCGGACATACTATAGACTCCACGTTACAGGCTAGGGATGAGGTTTCTACAGTTTTGAAATCAGCTGGATTCCCTTTGCGAAAATGGACCTCGAATTGTGACAAAATACTACAGGGCATACCAAAACCACATCTTTTAAGCGAAGATTTCTTAGAATTCGAGGACACTAGCAGTGTAAAAGCATTAGGTATCAGGTGGAATGCGCATTCCGACCAATTTTATTTCATAACCAAGACCATAGACGATAACATCACGCCAACAAAAAGAGCAATATTGTCAGCCATCGCCAAACTATTCGACCCGTTGGGTTGGCTAGCTCCAATAATAATAGTTGCAAAAATACTTATGCAGAATATATGGTTGGAGGGTACAAAGTGGGACGAAACGGTCTCCGTTCCAACCTTAGATAGGTGGCACAATTTCACAAAAAATTATAAAGAAATCGACAAAATAAGGATACCGCGGTGGGTATTTTTTTCACCAAAGGAAAAAGTCGAAATTTACGGATTCTGCGATGCTTCTGAAAAGGCATACGCGGCCGCAGTCTACCTACGTGTCGAAAGAGACGAGAAAATACTTGTCAACCTCCTGTTAGCGAAAACTCGAGTAGCCCCAGTGAAAACAATTTCATTGCCTAGATTGGAACTTTGCGGGGCGGTATTACTAGCCGAAATAGTCGAATCTATTACAAATAGCCTGGAATTAGGCCACCTAAACATACATCTTTGGACAGATTCGACGATTGTTTTGGCATGGATACGCAAGCCCCCATGTTCGTGGTCAACATTCGTTGCCCATCGAGTTACTAAAATAATAGACAAGGTAGGGAATTCTAACTGGTTGCACGTCGACTCTGCCACAAATCCAGCAGACTTAGCAAGCAGGGGCATATTGGCGCATGAATTGGTACAAAATTCGTTGTGGTGGCAAGGACCTTCTTGGCTGCAAGAAAATAGAGAAAATTGGCCATTACAAGAGATAGACTTCACTACTAATATTGAGGAAAAACGGTTGCACGTTCATTCAACAATAACGTCAAACGAACTTAGTGACATTCTTGAGCGGTTTTCAAGTTTACCGAAAGCTTTGAGGGTGCTCTCGTATGTATTGAGATTCCTTCAAAGAACCAGTCCGAAGACAAAAGCTTCTTTTCAGGCGAACTCTTCTTTAATTTCGTCAAACGAAATTAAAACAACGACTATACGTCTGATAAAACTCGCTCAGAAGCAACATTACGGAGCAGAAATCGCTAAACTTAAAGCTAGAGAAACCATTGAGTCAAAAAGTGAAATCCTTCCTCTAAATCCGTTGCTTGATAAAGATGATTTGCTGAGAACTGGTGGTCGTCTTGGTGCATCTCTTGATCTGGCATATAGTGAACGGCATCCAGTCATACTCCCATACAGCTGCAGGTTATCGCGCCTAATAGTCCAATTTGTACACGAAGTCTCTCTCCATGGTGAAAACCAACTCATGTTGCGTCTCATCCGAACCCAATACTGGATTCCAAAGGTGAAAACACTAATAAGGTCCACCATCCATAATTGCAAAATATGTACTATTCACAAAAAACGCTCACAAAGCCAACTTATGGGGATCCTTCCACAAGAGCGAACTACGTTTTCGCGAGCATTTACAAATGCAGGTGTGGATTTCGCTGGACCCTTTGAAATAAAAAGTTATCGTGGGCGGGGGTGCCGAATCTCAAAGGGTTACGTCTGTCTTATGGTCTGTTTTTCTACGAAGGCCATCCATCTAGAGGCCACAAGTGATTTGAGTACCCAATCCTTTCTAGCGGCATTTTCAAGATTCGTTTCCAGACGTGGGTGCCCAAAAAATGTCTACTCAGACAATGGGACAAACTTTGTAGGAGCTTCAAGAGCGTTAAAAGCAGAATTTAAGGCATTTCTTTCCGACGCGCGGACACAGACGCTCTCAAAATATGTTCACCAATCACTAACCTGGCATTTCATACCTGCCGCAGCTCCGCATATGGGGGGCTTATGGGAGGCAGGTGTGAAAAGTTTCAAAAGCCACTTTAAAAGGATAGCGTCAAATTCGAAATACACTTTCGAGGAGTTCAGTACACTACTTTGCAGAGTTGAGTCATGTCTCAACTCGCGTCCACTTAGCCCAGCCTCAAATGAGCCATCTGATCTGGAGCCTCTAACTCCAGGCCACTTTTTAGTCGGCGGACACCTGCTAGCTCCACCAGAGTTAGACGTCAACGAAAATCCTGCCTCGATCGTTAATCGTTGGCAGAAGCTCAAGGCCCTACACCAAAACTTCTGCAGGAGATGGAAGACTGAATACCTGAACGAGCTACAAAAACGCACAAAGTGGAAACATCCGAAGGCAAACATGAAAGTAGGAGATATGGTTGTCATAAAAGAAGATAATCTCCCTCCTAACGAATGGAGACTAGGTAGGGTGGTCAATTTACACCCAGGTTTGGACAGTAGAGTCCGAGTTGTTGACATCCTGACCGAAAAGGGCACTGTGACAAGACCGCTTGTCAAACTGATATTACTACCACCCTATCACACGGAGACAACCGCTGAGGACGACTAGGAGAAGAATTTCTACCGCTACCAACATTTTCAACTATATTTTCATTGTAGAGACTTTAAATATTTGTATCTTCTTAGGGCCAGTCTCGTCGTGCCAGTTTAAACTTAGATCACATAAAGTGCGTCTGCAGTGAACAGCTGGCGGAAATTTGCTTGGCTAATCTGGGCATAAGCCAGTCAGTCCGATTTGAAACTGCAGACGTGCACTAAGAAACTGACCCTTAGGTTAAATTATAAATAGTTACCTTCATTTATCTTAAGCGATTTTTAAGCATACCTCCTCAATTGCGGATCCACACTTATCCATCGTTGTAGTTGGTAGCGAATTTCCGAAAACGATTTTCTTAATGTTTTTTTTGCCATTTTTTCATATTATTTTTCGTTTTATTCACATTGCCTTCCCCAATATTTTTTTTCAAATTTTGATATTTATATACCGACATATATATCAATATACCCACGTATTTCCGAATTTTTCATATGATTTTTCGTTTTATTCACATTGCTTTCTACCTCAATTTATATATTCTTGTTTCTCAATTTATATATTTCTGTAGCGATTTAATTCAACTCTTGGTTTGTTAAAATTTTAGTTTCTTGATTTA